TGACCTCCTGAAGAAGGCAGTTAGCAGAGATGAACCTTTATCTGTAATGAAAGATATGCTATTTCTGCATTACCAAAGGACAGTGAAACAATCCACTGTTTTCCAGTCTCTTATCTTGTCGGACACTGGAAGTTAAGCAGGGCTGGACCTGCATATATAGGTGCACTGAGCACCTACAAGGTAGTCAAATACCTACCTAAGCTAATCAAATAAAGCCTTAGATACCTACAATGTATATGCTGCAGTGCTTAACTTTTAGGTGCCCAGCCCTCCAAACATCCAAAGTCCTGTGTTAAACAGCTTGACTACCTATACTGTGCCTGTGAAAGTTCAGCACCTCAGAAAAATTACATAAAACAGGCAGTGTGCTGAGTACCACTGGCCAGGAGACACAGAAACCTGAGGCTTCCAGTTTATCTGAATTTCTATCCTCTTCCAAAGAGCTAATGCTTGGCTCAGGGTCTCTTGTAGGTACCCTTGTCCATTCAAAATCCAGAGAGGATTAAATTTACTAGCTCAAATGTGCAGCAGAGTGGAGACAGCTGCTGCTGACCCTAACTGGTACCTCCACACACCACAACTCTGTGCTCAGTTTGTATCTGGAAGCAGAATGGCTTGTCAACTTAGTCCCACGTTCAGATAACACACACTACCTCTCAGCAGACCTAATTCACTCAGGTGAAGTGTCTCACTGTCACAGTATCACTACCTCAAGTTTCAGTACTAGGTTGGGGGGGGGGGGGCCTGGTTCCACTGCACAGTATACGAATGTAATACCTCTGTGGATGAGGTGCCAAGGGTGGGAAATAGTTTGCAGGATAAAGCAATGGTACCCATCCAACTGCATTTACTATCCAACGATGGTAAATGCAGTTGGATGAAGTGTACCAACTCTCATTCATGTAATACAGAGTTCATTTACTTACTGAAGAAAATCTGCTAAAACACCACAAAGAATGCATTTACCCACTTTTTTATTTACCCACTTTCTTGTTTTCTCAACAAATGAGTTTACACAGTTCATAATTTATAACCATACTGCCATGATGAGGGCTTGAGCCCTAGCTTCAAACATATGAGACAGCAGTGTAACAGCTGTGTTGGTTCTCTGCATTTATTGCAGAGGGAAGAATCCTCTTATGTTCTAAAACAAACAAAAACATCCAGTTTTAGACACCACCCCTAAAGAATTACCATGTAGAAAGTAAAAAGCTTGTTTCAAAGAAACAGTAAACCCATGCTTTCATTAATGGCAGATAGTCAGATAGAAGCATTATGAACTGGAAAAGCTAAAGCTCAGGTGCAGAGTCCGTTCCACCAGTTCTGCAAGAGTTATGAATCGTGTGCTTCACACTAAGCCAGCACACATTGACTGCATTATGCTGATGACTCTGCTGTCTTCGAGAAAATTTCTATGTCATACTAAAAAGTCAACATTTTCCTTGAGAACAATATACTTTCAATTGAACAAGTAAAACAAAGTCCTTCATCAAAAATCCATGCTTTGCCATAAAACAGTTTCTGTGAAAAATTTCCTCTAAGTCCTCATGGTGGTTTAGCTAATGAGGAAATCATGCATGAGTCTACACTCATCATAGACCCCTTCATGTAGATCCATTCAAGGTAGACTCATTTATGATGAGAGGGTGTAAAGAGGACAGGACCAGACTCTTCTCAGTGGTGCCCAGTGACAGAACAAGAGGTAATGGGCAAAAACTGAAACATGGGAAATTGCACTTGAACACAAGAAAACACTTCTTTACCATGAGGGTGACTGAGCACTGGCACAGGTTGCCCAGAGAGGTTGAGGCATTTCCTTCCTTGGAGATACTGAAAAGTTGTCTGGACACAATCCTGGGCAACGTGCTCTAGGTGACCCTGCTTGAGCAGGAGGGTTGGACTAGACGCTCTCCAGAGGTCCCTCAACAACCCCAACTGTTATGTGATTCATCCATGCGCCTACATTTTTAGGAGTAATTAAATTGTTTGTGTTTTTCTTTGCTATGTTGGAGACTTCATATATGGGAAGGATTTCTATATACACTACTTTAACTATCACAAAGTATAGTTAAACCAGGATAGTTCCGCCTGTATAATCCCTTTTATGCCACTATAAATCTCAGTCTGATTTACACTTAGTCACTTCTAAACATATAAAAGCTAACTTGGGGAAAAGGCAGTCAAACCAGAATAAGAATGTTTACAGTGGAAATCAAGCCACTTTAATTAAAGGAAATTAAATTTATACCTTATAATTTAAGAGGATATTGTCCTTCTGTGGAAAAATGCATAAACAGGGTCTTGGCACAGATTTGCTCTCAGGTAAAACTAAAGCAGATCTTTTGTTAGAGGCTGTGAGGAACTCAGCATCCTGAATTCCCATGGATTCCCTCGATTGGAGGTTTGAGAACAGAAACAAAATATGAAGATTTGTATAAACCTGAACATTGCTTTCTGTGATGTAACAAGATACAGAGCTTTTAGAACAGTTATGCATTTGTCATGCTTATCTCTGCATTTAACAAACCTCCCTATGAACCACTGTGCATTATTCATCAGGTATGCAGCAGCACTGCAGATTCTGTTCAAGGTTTTGAGATTGTATTACATATCTGAAATATACCTACCTTTCACTGACAAGACCTTTGAGAATATTCCATTATTGGGCAGGAGGTTTGAACTGAGCATACTTTTTAATGAATAGTTTATTCACAGAAAAAAATAATATCGGCTGACTGATAATTGTGAATTTAACCTAAATTTACCAAGTACCTTTGAACCTATTTTCACATGAGGGAGAGAGGATAGGACGTTATTAAAAAATGTCTGTTTTAGCATTTTTGAAAGAAGCTATTTCAATTCTTCAAGATAGATTTACACTGCCAGTAGTTATGGACATTACAGTGGCAATTAGCCAATACCATTAGAAAAGTTAGAAAGCTAAATAAACAGTGTTTAATAGAATGTTCCAATATAGAGAGATCATCTATGTACTTTTTAGACTAACAGTACTTTTATTTCTGGTTACAGAAAACAGATGGAAACATAGTTTTTTATAAAGCCTAAGACAGAAAAAAACAACCACTGCATTCATGTTATTTTGTATTTAAAATAGAAAACATCATAACATTGTCTTTGCAAGAAGACTGATAAATTCTGATGGTGAACAGAATCTAAGCTTCTTTTTATTATTAAGTGTGTTTAATATCTAAACTGATTTTTGAAGACCTCCTACAGGGTGAATATTCCTCTTCAGTCGAGCTGAGGTAAAAACACTGGTTAGCTTTTTTCACAAATCCTTTTTTATCAGTCTTGCACCCAACATGGTTAACACAGTTAGATTTGGTCTCATAAGATGCTCCAAGCCTTCAACTTCTACTGAAATTATCAGGGATTCAACTGCATAAAATGCTGAAACCTAATGAATATAATGGACTGCAATTAGCCTTTTGTGGTTTGCTATGTCCTTCTGCTTTAAACACATACAAGGGTCATGCTTACTGGAGAGAAATTATTGAGTGAACTGATTAACAGTAAACCACACAAAACTTAATAGAAGTATTCCTTTAATATGTATATATTCTGGTTTTTAATAGTGTCTTTATTGCTCGAAGTGCCAAAATAATTAGAGAAAAGAATGCTTTTAAGGAGCTTTCAACTCAGGTAGAGACAGGAAGAAGTGGAAGTCAGATGAGAAAATTTGTTTTATGAACAGACTGATTCTGCTTATTTTGAAATGAAGGCAAAAATGTTCATGACTTCAAGAAGTGCCTCTGATTTTTTTTTCAGAAAGTTTGTGTGTTTATTAAAATCGATGACCAAATATTTTCATATAAGCTTTGTGTTAGTGATCAAGCAAAACATCTTTTTTTTTTTTTAAATTACAGAGACATATCCCTGTTCCAGGCAAACACTGAAGACACACAGGTACATTTCCACTGGGATTTCAGCTGCTCAGCTGCCCTAGGGCAAGTCTTAGCATAGGCACTACTAATATTTATACTATAATGCTGGCACAGCTGCAGCCTACCCATAACTTGGTAGTCAAATCCCATGCACTCATATGAATCGCCAGTGCAACTACCGTAGTCGTTAGTGGAACAAGTCTGGAACTCACAATAAAACATATCCTCTCCTCAATGCATGGCATATAAACAGTATATAAAAATATCACAGTGAAAATTTCTCACGCTATTGTTTTAAACTGAATCTTGAGTTCATCCAGCAGCACACTGGGCATAAATTCATTTTCTCTACATAATTATCAAAGTGACTGTACAATTAGCATGCAAACTCTTGAAATAGCTCTGTTATCATCACAGCATTCACAAAATGTAAATTTGTGTCAATGATGTCATTCACAAATTGTCAATTTGTCATAGGACAGTTAAAAAGTGAGCATTCAATATCCATATCCTCACTACAGAAGTCATACAGCAAATGTATCATCATAGCAATAATTACAGTCTGCAGTATATTCTCACCACTATCACACAGTGTCACTGTGCACATTTATTCTTATTGCATGTTGCTTTTACTGTAGCTCAGCCTTTCTTGTTTTCTTGTTTGGTGTGCTTATACTGTTTCTGTACTCTTTTCACAGTAGCTGTTACAATTAAGGCCAGATGTCCCCCCAAAAAACCCCAAATAATTACCCCAGCAATTAGCAGCTTAAAGGAAAAGCCTTTGAATAAGTCACCTGCTCTGCTCAAATGAATCATCAGTTAAGGACCATCCCTGAGAACTTAAGGTCAGTAAGGACTTTTTCTTCAGATGAAAATGGGCTAATAGAGATTTTGCCTTGCAGTACTCACATGATCCCACAGCTACCACAGAAAAGGCATAATATACATCAGGAAGGTGTAATACATTAGTGTAACAACTGCTGCATCCTCAAATACGCAGGAATTTTATTTCATTAGAATATAAAGTGCCCATTCTCCCATGAGGAGCTAGTAGAAATACCAGAAAG